GCAGTGGGTTCAGTAGTTTGCCCAGGGACACTTTGACACGTGACTGAATAGTGGTGGAATCAAACCACCAACTCTCACATTAGAGGATGACTCTAACCACTCAGCCACAGCTGCTCACAAATGCAGGCAGTGGTCATCTACTTCTCATAATGGAGATGAAAGACTGATGTGTGGCTCACTTTTTTCTGGCAACACTGTCTCAAACCTATTCAAAATCACACAAAATTCAGAAGGAATTAGATGGAAATGAGCTGCCACCTCTGTTTAGAAAGACAAATGAAAAGTAGAAAATTCTCTGCTACAAGCTTGTATGTTTCTGTCCAAAGTGGAGACTCATTCCAGTCAGACACTTGCCAGTGCCACTTAAGAGACCTCATTAGTTGCACATTATCAACAGAATATGTGACATTTGTGTTTTACATTTACTTTTGAAATCTTGCTCTGACTTGGTTTCCAGCTCTCAGGCTATTCCTCAACATATCGCTGTCTGCTTGTCAAACAGAGCACAGGCTTCTTTCTAATCCAAGTGAGTGTTTTCTGTCTTCCACTGGCTGATTTAGCCCAGCAGGTTTTGGAAGAGAGTGATGAAGGATGTCGTCTTTAACAAAAAGAGAAAGAATTCTCTACAATCAATAACACAAAAGTAATTTTTCTTTTTAGTCTTAGCTGCCCTCGCTGGATTCTTTTCATTTACATCTGCTTTCTTTGACTRGGCTTTCATTTTTTTGGTAAAAYGATGTGGAAATTTTCTTTCTGATACAACTGGAAACAGGGATTTCTTCCAGTAGTAACAAATCCTTGTATTTTGGTTCTGTATCAGTGCAGCACCAAGCTGACTTCTGGCCCTGAACCACAACAAGTGGCTGGAAGCTCCCCAAGGATCCACCACCACCCCAGTGCWGACAAAATCAGCCCCCAAACCTTCCTAATGTCTTCCACAAGTTGAATTCCACAACAATTCAGATGCTCAGGATTCTTGACATCAGAATGAAAAGAAATTATCCTGGACTGAGAGGGGAAAAGTGTAATTTGATGTTTACAGTGATATTATTTAGAACTTTGGGATTCTACAAATGTCTGTTTGGCTGAGTGAACAGCAACAGAAAACTTTCCAAAAAGAATATCTGCATCTCATTAGCCAGTGTCATTAAACCGGCATCACTTCCTCCCATCAAGAGGCTGAAGACAATGAAAATAAGATGGCTGGAACGTTTTATTTATCTCCCCCATTGAAACTTACAGCCAGTAAGTTATTAGCACGTCTGGTAAAAGTGTTGTCCTGTCAAAAGATTTCCATGTGTAGCTTTTCATGCAAGCACTGACGTCCCTTGCAGCTGGACRGATCTGAACCACTCTTACATTTAAATGCAGTGCGGGAGCCGTTAACCCTGATAGATCATGCAGGTGTGCCTGGAATAACAGGTTTAACTTTAATACGTTAATAAAAGGGCATTGAGACCTTTAATGTTCTTTGACCACATGAGTGGAAAAATGCAGGCAAGGTGTTGGTCTGACCTCAGGAGTGTTTTACAGTGACAACCATGTTGTGATGGTAATGACACATAGAGGATGGCTTTTCTGTGAGCAGCCTTGGTAACTTATAAAAACCAAGCAGCATCAACAGAGTCAGCAAATAATGGCTAAAGTTCAATTTCTAATATTACACAGTGATATTACCGAGCTGTCCGAGAAAGATTCAGGTCTGATTATTTTCTCAAATTTAATGCCTATTGGTCATACGTCTATATTGTACTTCTCTCCAACAACTAAAACTATACATCAGTCTATAACCACACATGTCAAGAAGCTGGGAGGAAATGAGGCTACAAAGAGCAAACACCCACCTCACAGCAGGAGGCTCACTGACCTCTGAGTGCCAGAAACCAGCTGCTGTTTCTGAGGGTTTATGACAGAAGAGCAGAAAAAAATCCTTACAAGCTGCTGCTGACTGTACAGCCTGGAGCCAAGTGGTCAGTTATTTCTGCATCTAAAAACACATGCCTATGTAAGCTTTATAAATTATGCTAATAGATAAAAAAGAAAAGTACTTATTTGTTAAACTTCAAATACAAGCAAATACATTCAAATCTAGTGACTGTTTGCAGTGTTTTTCTGTCTGACACAGAGGTCTTTTTGTTACTGATGTTTATTGGACACATTTTCAGGAAATGTAACAAAAACACACAGAAAGTGTTAAAAAAATGTTTCCTGAAACTTTACCCTTCAGCTAATGAAGTTTAACAAGGAGATCAAATGTGAGCAGCAGACAGAGAAGTGGGCTGGTTCTGTCCATCTGGATATTGTGGATTTTTCTGAGTGGGAGCTGAAATAAACTCAGATGAAATGAGCCAAACTGAGCGGAGGCGTGACAGTTATCTGTTCCTGACGGAGCCTGCAGCTGAACTCCATCAGGTTTAAACAGGTGGTGAAACAACTGAACAGCAGTTGTCTGATACAGAGACAAGTCCTGAGTGCAGCTGGAGTACAACTTCTACCTGCCCTAGCATCAGAAGTAATACAGCACATGTTTGTGTGATACAGACGGCAGTGTGTCACACTACAGTATCTTAAAAAAGTGGGCAAAGTTTTCTAAAAGTTGAGTAATGGACAGAAAAAAGGATGGATATCAAAATGTTTCAAAAACATGGCTGACATCACCAAAAGCTGCTTTATTAAAGGCCCTATCACACTATAATATKTTAGACAAACGATGCTGATGAATGAAGATTTTGTCCAATATAAGTTAAAGATAAAATTGGACGTATACATGCCATTTAGCTAATGAGTTGAAAGGATATATATTTTTAAAAGAATATAGATTTAACATGAGTAACTTATCGATAGCTTGTCTCTAGCATACAGTTTTCAAGTGTATGATGACGTTTGGCTTTTGCAGAGAATACGCATAATATTATTCTCTTATGCCAAACACATTACATGCTGAAGCGTATTGCAACAGTTAAATGACATCAGATTAGAACGATATACCAAAGTGTGCGACAAAATTTTCATACATCTGCWTGAGTACTAAGACACCAGATTTTAGTTTAATATCTGTAAAATTGCCTAAATTATAGACATTTATGCATTTTCCAAGGTCAGTTTTAATTAAATCAACACTTTGACACAAACTTGTCTTCTCCTGCCCATAATGTGTGGATCTAAACTTTAAAACATACTGTAGATGTTTATTCAGTGGTTGCTTTTCGAACGATATTTCAC